GATCTTTCTATGACTCCGTTACTGTCCTCTGTCATTCACACAGCCATGCGGCTCCCCACTCACCACCGAGACCATGGTAACAGGCCACGCTTTGCAGAGTGGCTCAGAGGCATGGCGACGCTCCCCGGAGTCTGGAGAGTTCGACTGTTCAGTCCACCCTGCTGTGGCCTCACCCACTAGCACCCTGGAGAGCTCTCCTGACCCACAGAATAGCAGTGCCTGCCCCAAGCCCAGCCCAGCGTGCGAAGTCTGTGTGGGTGCTCCACGCCCCCCTTCTCCCCCCACATACCTCTGGTAAGACGAACTGCTCCACGGGCTTGTACCACAGTCTGTTCACCTGCACCCCACAGCTCGGGGGGCTAAAGCGAGCGACGAAGAGGGCCTCCTGCAAAGGGGGAGACAAGAAACACTTCCTGTTGGACACGGATACCCACAGATCTCACATGGTACTTGCATATCTGACCTGGCCAGCTAAGTCCTCAGTGGCCCCGCCTGGTTACCAGCATTGTCCCACTGTGGTTTAGGTGTCATCTGGGTTCTCTAGTCCGCCATGATTATGAAGTAAAGGTAGTTAAGTTCTAAACTACTAAAAAGAATCTTCATAACCTTCAAACACCACCCTGACATGAGAGGCATTAGGGGAAGTGTGAGGTGTTGGTAAGACAACTTACTATGTTTAACCCAAAGGATTAAGAACAAATGGCAGACGACAGATTTCTACATGGAACAAAGGACTCAGGAATCCCCTTCAAAAGGAACCTTTAGAGGAAAAAACCAACATCAAAGAGCACGCTTCTGTCTCGTTTTCTTGGCCCCTCCCAGTGTTTCAGACAAGAACACTTCCCTCTTCTCATGCCTGTTCTTTTCTTTTTTTGGATATTTTTCCCATTGATTTTTAGACAGTGGAAGGGAGGGAGGGAGGAACATGGATGTGAGAGGCACATCGATTGGTTGCCTCCCGCACGCCCAACCAGGCCCATGCATTGAGCCTGCAACCCAGGTACGTGCCCGACTGGGAATCAAACCCTTGACCCTCTGGTGCGTGGGCCCACACTAACCCCTGAGCAACACCAGCCAGGGCCTCCTGCCCATTCTTAGATACCAACTTACCATCCAGGAAACGTCTGTAGCTCAGAATTAAGGGCACTCTGAGTGGATTATGTGTGTTTCTTTCATGAACGCTCGTTCTTGACAACGTGTGGGACTAGTTTTGCGCGACCCTGTGCATTACCCTCTGACATGCCCAATGGGTGGGAGGGAGGGGAAGTCTCCCGCCTACAATCCTCCGCCGGCGCTTCTGAATGGAACTGGGAATGCCTGTGCGAGCAGCACACACCTCCTGCTCTGCCTGGTACAGCTTGACGGTGAGGTTCCGCTGGAAGCCCACATCACTGGCGCCGCCCAGCACCCCGAGGCTGGTGATCACGATGGGGTGCAGCACGCGGAAGCTCACGCTAACCACACGGTCCTTAGAGAAGCCCGAGGGCGTGTCTTCGGGAAAAGTGAACGCCTCGATTTCCTGGTTCAGAACTGAGGAGGAACAGTGAGAAAGGAGTTTGACATCATCAGCTCATCGGAAGTGATGAGGCCGCCTGACAGCAAAACCTAGGGAATTATTTGTCATGTGATTCTTTCCCAAATGGCAATGCTTTTAAATGCTTCAGAAATATGGCTGCTTTTAGGGAAAAAATTATTCTCAAATTTAAGAACAAAGTTTTCAGTTACAGGTAAGTAAATATTTATTGATCAGAGCTACTTTAACAGGTTTTGCATGTACGCGTGTACATGTGTATGTATAAACACCACGGGGGAATATTAAGTTCAAAGGCATCTGTCAGGAGAGGTGGGGGCAAACAGGGATATTGGAAACAATGCTGATTACAGCCATAAATAATGAATAAATTGAGTCTTGCTCTGCAAAATCCAAAAAACCTACATCTCGGACAATTTAAAATACGTGTCAGGGCAGGCAGTTTTCAGATCCGGCTCTGTGGGTGCGGAGCCGCCTCCCGTTCACAGAGTAAGAAACCGAAGCCAGAGACACTGAGGAATCGCCCGGGTCACAGAGGGGCAGAGCCAGGAAGCCAACCCAGGCCGAGTGACTGCCAATCCCTGCTCTTCCTACGCCCTGCCGCCGTCTAATCTAGATCGAAACAGCTTTCTTCAAGTAATTTTTCAAGAAATGACCCGGTAGATTACATGAAGCATTAACATGGCTCCACTTTCTCCTGCTAAAATCAGACACTATCCTATTCCGTTCAGCGACTTGTCCTTAACGCCAGCCCCGGGGAGGCGTCCCGGCCGCGGAAGGAGGCTCACCCGGGTCCGAGATGTTGAGCAGCCGGCAGGAGTAGGGGTCCTCCCGGTCCTCCACGGGCACCTCGCAGCCCCGGGCGCCGATGATGAACTTGACCAGCACCCTGAGGGCAGGCAGCATGAACACGGTCACCGGGCCTCGCCCGCCCTGTGTGTGCACATTTCCTCCCCCTTTCAGAGCGTTGACGCTGAGGCACAGGACTGATCGGTGTGAACTCTAACTTCACGCTTCCAGCCCAGCCAAGCGAGGCAGCGAGCAAATCCACAGGCGCTGAGCACCACATGGCTCCGCCAGCGCCCC